AATTACAAGCTTAAATTTCAAGGAACAGACGTCATGGGAGAACAAAGATCCTCATCATACTAAGAAGCTTCCAAATTGCCAGGAGGAACTACCCTGGCAGCAAGAACATGCAAACGGGGAGTCTGCTTTACCACATACTGCAGACAATCCCAAATTAAATGATCAGTTGTCTCTTCTACCTCACATACTTCACATTCTTCATACAATCCCCACATAGAATACCTGTGTGGTTTACAGGAGGGACTTATCAATAAATCCAGAAGGTCACATCTCAAATCACATGGCCATGCTCCACAGACATTTTATAAAACTTTGGGAGTAGACAGAAAAGCTCCACTAATTAGCTACATTCAGAATAACCTGAAGTTGACTCAAAGTAACAGAGGCATAAGCCTGACATTCATAGTTTAACATACACAATAAAATGTCAAAAGGGTGTTTCCATCTCCCTGTGGACATTTCCAGAAATAGTCTGTAACATTTACTCTAACTTTACACCTCTGAGTCACAGAAGTTCTTTCCAAAGCATTTTACTGTAACCCCTGCCCCACAAAAACTTAACTAGAAACTAAATTGATTTGTTTTCCATAAAGCTGTAAATTAACATCCTTTGGACACTTCCATCTAGTAAAAACCACTCAAAGAAAACTGAGAACCCCATGATTTTTCCCATTCTTCCAGATTACAAAGAGCCATATTAAATCAAGGCTCAGCAACCTTAAAAGACCACGAAGCACAGTCATCTGCATAAAGAGTAACAGCAATCCCATGTCGTATATCTTAGGGAAGTTCATTTATCATTTAAAAAGAGTTGGACTAATAACACTCCCCTGAGGAATCCCATTATCCAAAGGACAGGCATCGGAAAATGCTGAGCTCACCCAAACCTGCAAGTCACAACCATGCAAAAGTTCATGTAACCACCAAAATAATCTACTTCACAAACCTATAAGAGTAGTGTAAGATAAAATTTTTCCTTACTTTCCAAGAGGAACAACAATGGCATGTTTTCAAACCTTAGGCAACACACCGAATTTACAAATTAAATTATATAAGGCAAGAAGCATTGATTGGGTAAATGCCAAAGCATGTCATAACTTATATCATCTTCATTAGAAGTATTTTTCTTTTAGTCAATGTATTCTGCAGTTCCCATCATGAAAACTCCACATGAGAACCAGTTATGCAAAACATCTGCATGTAACCCAAGAAAGGACTGCTGTCAGAATTAAAAGCCTCTATCCAATTATTGACACTACTAACTTTCTTGAACTCCTTGAACAACACATTTGTTTTCATAACACTAGTTGTACACACCTCAGTATCAGTAACAAAAACAAAAATATCCTTCCTTTGTCTAAGGATCCTTTTAACCAAAGCCTTACAACATTTATTTTCCATTAAATTTTGTTCAGGTCCTGCATGCCTGAGTTTTCAAAAAGCACAATTCCATGCATGAATTGCTCTATCACAATCCTCTGAAAGGAACTATAATATTTGCTGTATTTGCCTACACCTGGGAATGGCTTGACAGACAGCATTCAACACACCTGCACTCAGCATTCAAATTTAGCACTAAAAACTTCTATATCATCTATTGCTCTTAACAAGTCAAGAAACTTCAAGCATTTATGCAGAAAATTAGCTTTCTTAAAATTCCAAGAAAGAATCAGGTTTATTTCATCAATATATCCCTTTCCCTTACAAGTAAAGATCATAAGAAAATGATCACTACCAAAAGAAATGTCCAGAAGGACTTTTCCCATCCACAAAAGCTTGCAGTGCTTCTTGATGCTACTCCCAAATCCAAACAGGATAAATAGCCAGAGGAAGAACTCAAACAAGCATGGTTGTTCAAATAAAATGCTGTTTCCCTATTTCTAACTAATCCCGCTTGGACTTGATCAACCAATGAAGAAGTGTCACTGTCCAGAGTATAAGCTATAGGTCTCTAGAAATAGCAGCTGATATTTTAAAACTACTGTTCCTTTAAGTAAATCATGACATCCTAAATCCTTTAGGCGATGACTTTTCATGTTAAGGGTTCATTCTTTACAAAAAACAGAGTACTTTGAAGGCTTAAAGATTTGCTAGTGCATTTTATGGATTAATAATGGTATATGTTAATAATCCATTAATTAATTAATCCATTAAAATTAATTACTTTTATGTTCCTATTCAGAATATGCCTTAACTCCCAACTAGATAGAATATTTAAAAGGATGAAAACTAAAGCCTTGGTATTTCATAGATGAACGAAAGTTGTACTGTAGTATACTTGGGAAATAGGAATGTGGTTTTCAGGAATGATTTTGCAAACCAGAAGAGTCTTCTGTGTGTGTCTTACTCCACACAGACACACTTGAAGGAAGGGAAGGTAACTTCAAGCAGCCCAGGCACCATCTTTTGTCCCCAGAACACTGCCAGGGACTGCACTTCCTAGCCACAGTATCTGCCTCTGCATCACCATTTTTTAAAAATTTAACTATTAAGGTGGAAAAGATGAAATAGCTGCCAGATGACATTACTGTGACTAGATGTCAATCCTATGCACATGCTGCTGAGATTAAGCCCTGCTGAAAACAGTGGGACTCACTCCAAGCCAGTATACCTAAGAATGTATTAACCCCTTTGAGATGCTGGAGCAAACAGAGGCTAAGTTAGCCGCTGGTTTACTAAGGTCTGGAGTCCTGAGCCTCTGGGAGGCCATCTGCGCCGCCATCCTGGTGCCCACAAGAACCTGCCGTGGTGCTGCACCTGATGTCCCTAAAACAATCGGTTTTTCTCCTCTTGCTGCTCCCCCCCAGTCTTACTTCCTGGGTCTTTTCCTATCCTCAGTAAGGCTACAGTCCTAAGCAGGGTATGAAAGAGTAAGAGCTTTTCTTTCCGTATGAGGCATTTATTGTGCGTGCATGATTCCTCACTCATGGTAGTTTGCAGGTCTTCCAGGGCAATCATTTCTGTGACTTTTCATAGATCAAGGAAAGTCTGGTATTACTGGGAAATGGTGGCATGAAATACTAGTATGTTTGTGCAATTTTGCTGTTCCACAGTGCCAACCAGTGGCTTTGTTATGGAACATAAAGAAAGGCAGAGAAAGAGCCCCCTCCAGAAAAAAAAAAAATTAAAGAAATAAAGGAACCAATCTTAAACCCACAAAGAATCTACAGACAGATGCCTCTGCAAAAGTGCTAGTTAAAAACCTCATGTTGCAATGCCCTTTGAGCGTTTTATGTAGGATTCCTATTACTAATGCTCGTAAAGGCAGTCTGAAGCTTGTTTTTTCCTAATAAAAATACAGATGGAAGAAGCCCTGAGAAAGCACAAGAGGGCTACAAATGTTAAGACTTGATTGTCCAGGTCGCTTGAGAAACTGTGTGACTGAGGCATTGCAATAGCATAGTAAGAACCTCATCTGGAAGCCTCATCTGGAGCCTGAGTTGTGTATAAACAAACATATATAGCTTTGCACTGCCGAGGTTGAGCACTGCAGCTCTCAGCTGGGACCAATTTTTACAAATCACTGTAATCAGTTTCTTGATCTGTATATAGACTTGATAGTAGGGACAAATATCTACAATTGTTGTCAGCCTTATTTAACATAATATGTTCGAAATTAGTGTGTGAACCATTGAATAACTCGTTTTTTTGGAATGGAAAAATAGTCAAATAATGCAGTGTCTGAAGCATTATTGAAAGAAGCTCTGTTTCTGGTTGCCCGAAATGTGGTGATACTCGGAAGGGTCCGCCCTGCTTTGCCTCCTCCGCCAATTTGGGACACCGGCCTGTCCTGCGCCGCGAGGCAGGCGACCTAGCCAAGCAGCCGAGGGACTGCAGGCGAAGGGCGGCTCGCCTCCCCCTCCCCGCGGCCAGCGGCGTCTTCCCGGCTCAGATTGGCGCCGGCTCTGCTGCAGCCTGGCGCAAAAGGGGGGAGCCAGAGGGGAGCGGCGCTGGGGCGCGATGGCTGGGCTGCGGCGGGACTGCGGCGGCGGGAGCGCGGCGGCGCGGCCTCGAGCTGAAGCGGCGCGGAGGCTCGCCTTGGACGCGCGCGGCGAGGGGCAGTCCGGGCTCGTCTTGCGTCCAGGCAGGTCAGATTCAGGTAGTGGAAAACGTTGCGTGTTTCGCGGGGTCTTGCTTGCGCCCTCTTTCCCTTCGTGCTTTTGGATTGTGTTTTAATGTAGGTCCGACGTGGCAAGTGGGGGGATCCTTTGGCTGCATAGTGAATCAGTGTCTTTAACCTGTGTGTGGGTGATGCAGAAACCACAAATCAATCGCTCTCGCTCTCGCTCTCGCTCTCGCTGTGTGTGTGTGTGTGAGAGAGAGAGAGAGAGAGAGATGGGGATCGCTTTTCATCTTGGCAATCCCATGGTAGGAAAAACTGATCCTACAGAATCCCTTCTTCTGCACATCTGTGTAGCAATCCCCCACCCTCTATGCACCTGGCCATCCTAA